GGAGGTGTTGGGATATAAAAATACCTATAATTTTATGGGGGGGTTTACATTACAAACCCTCTTATTTTCAATGACTCAAATCCTGAATTGAACCAAATACCTTCTTAAGTTAGCTATCCATGCAACTACTTTTCAATTAGTTAATTCTTGTCTTTCATTAATTTCTTTTTGGTATCTCTTCTCCATTTCCACTGATTATTTCTTGTTTCGATCATGGATATTATTTACCTGGATATTTGTAATTACTTTATCTTGATTAATTTTACTGAAAATTCACCCTAAAACATGGCCATCAAAACCGATGCATTGGGAGAAGGGAAAGAGCGCAATAATGGATTTACCTGCTATTCCTTCAAATTCTGCAGTAGTTATTGACATCGACTTGCTATCATTAAAGCCTGTTCTTGATGTAACTGGCGATATGAAGGTCCTTAAAAAGATTTTGAGAGCAGGAGAAGGTATTCGCAGACCGAACAATGGAGAAACCGTATACAGTAAGTACCACCATATTTCTCTTTGCAATGTGCATATACAAACCTTCTGGAAATAACTTTTTTATTCTTGTCAAATATATAAGGTAGTTTATATCTGCAATTGACTCTTTCTTCAGTTAGATATACTGCTTTGCTGGAAGATGGTACCTTATTTGAGAAAGTGGGCTTCGACGACAAACTCTTTGAGTTTGCTGTAGATGAAGGTAAGCTCACAGAAAACTCTTCTGAGCTAATTTGTAAAGACGTTTAACTGATGTTCTAATTAGAATGTGCTATACAGTGGATATCCATGTCAATAATTGCCTATTCATAATGTGCTGCATTTTTTATTCAGAGGAGGTAATTGCTGGATTAGATCGAGCAGTAGCAACAATGTTGAAAGGAGAAATTTCTCAAATCATGGTCAAACGTGAGTATGGATTTATGAATGATCATGTGGACAGGATTGGGATCAATGTTCCTGCCTATTCAACTTTAGTTTATGAAGTGGAGTTGGTAGACTTCACAAAGGTGATGATGAAACTATCCAGGTAATAAATTACAGGTTCAATATATGGTTATTGACTTTTAACGCTTTTCTCCCTTTTTCTTTAGGAAAAAGAACTATGGGAAATGAGTAATCATGAAAAGATTGGAGCTGCGGAGAATGCAAAACAGATGGGCAATGATTTGTATAAGATAGGGAAATTTTCACGAGCTGCAAAGAAATATGATAAGGTAGTAATGCAAAGGATGACTATCTACGAGCTTGTTCTGACTCAAAGATTAATGTCCCTTTATTAGTTGATTACTATATCTTCTCAGAAGTAGTGTACTGACGTAAATGTTGTCAGGCTGTTAGCTATATTAATGAGAATGGCTCGTTTGAGGATGGAGATGATAAGCTTGTTAGAACCTTGAGAGTATCCTGCTGGTTAAATCATGCAGCTTGCAGTCTCAAACTGAAAGACTTCAAGGAAACAATTCAGTTATGTTCAAAGGTATTTGAATAGACATGATGCTTTGCTGGAGTCTGGTGATTGAATTCACTACTATATATTTTTACAATTTCAGGTACTAGATATTGAGTTTTGCAATTTGAAAGCTTTGTATAGGCGAGGACAAGCTTATATGGCAGCTGGTCATCTTGATTTAGCCAAATTGGATATTCAAAAGGCACTTGAGGTTGACCCACAAAATAGGTAAATTTGGTTATGATATGGCACTTCTAAATTTTTGCTTGTTCCTGAAAACATGTTAACTTAAATATAAACATGCAGGGAGGTGAAATCACTAGAACTCTCTCTCAGAAAGGAACAGAGAGAGAGCAGCAAAAGAGATGCCAAGCTATATGCCAATATGTTTGAAAGGATGAGAAAGGATGCAGATAAATCATTGAAGGTACTCTAATAACATGGTTTTTCTGCGAAGTCCTAGCATTAGTGTAAAAAGTTTTATTTTGGATACTTGATACTATTATACAGTAATTTGTTCACTTGCATGTATGATGCAGCGATTTGCCAATTGGCATGCTATTATGTTCATGATTCATTATCAATATAGAACAATCGACTGCTCAGTAAAGTTGTAATTTAGTAGTTGATAGTAAGTGTTAACTAGCTAGAAGTATTTTAATTTGATTCATTGCTACCTGAAATTAATATATTTCTTGCAGTTTTAAATATTAGGTTTCTGCTCTCGGGAGTATAAGTGAATTCAGATTGAACAAGTATATTGTTTCTTGATGTACTTCACTGACTACGTTGTTGCTTATTGCAATAAAAACAGTACATTTTCTAAATTGCTAGTAATTTCAATTTGCCTTTTGAATTGTTACTGTTTAAAGAATTGGAATCTGATTCCATTTGGCTCTTTTGTTTATGTTATTCCTCCCTGCATATACGTATGTATGTATGTATGTATGAATATATATATATATATGCACAAAATTTGTGTTTGGTACCAAGCATACCCATTTTTCTCTCTCTCTCTCTATATATATGTATGTATATATATATATACATATATGTATATATATATATACATATATGTAGATATATACATATTTGTATATATATATATATATATACAAATATATATTTGTGTATATGTATATACAGATACATATACCTGTATACAGATACATATACCTGTATATAGATACATATATATGTATATGTATATGTATGTATGTATATATATATATACATACATGTATACATGTACTGTATAAACATATATACATACATAGATACATATACATATGTATATGTATATACATATACATATATACATACATACATAGGTACATACATATGTATATGTATACATATAGGTACATACATATGTATATGTATACATATATACATACATATACATATGTATATATATGTGTACGTAATATATACATACATACATATATATACATATGTATATACATATACATATCTATATACATATACATATGTATATACATATACATATGTGTATATATATATACACACACACACACACACACATATGTATGCATATATACGTAAATGTGTATATATATAAGCACATTGACAGACGTGCTTATTTTTCTTACAGTTTTATTTATTCGAGAATTTATTACATCCTTATTAACAAATTTTCAAATAAATAAACTGTAAGATCTCAATTTAGCCAGATAATTTTGAGCCAAACATGGCTCTGATACCAAAACTCAAAGCAAGATTCAAAATTTAAATACTTACAATTTAAGCTTCCAACTTTTAAAATAACTTCTTCTTTATTGATCTCTACAATATTTTACAAAGTAGAGTCACACTTATTTTACAAACTCTCTCTGAGGTCGCTCTGATTTCTTTTGCCAAAGAACTCTGATGTTTTCTGACCTCTCTGTTTTCTTATATAAGCTTACAAACATTACTCTCAAGTACAGTAGAAAGTTACTTTATTGTAATTATACAAAGTGGCAGCACTACGGTGGTGGAAAGGAATAAAGGCGTAAGGAATCTCCTTTTAAAAAGTAAAGTGCTTTTCATGATGATGTCTGCCATTATCAATAAAATGAGCGGCTCCCCGAGGCTCAACTCATTTCTGATAAACTTCTGGTATATTGCCCTTTATAAATTATAAACCATTATTCTTAAATGGATCAGATATCCAATTCCAAATAAAAGAGATTTATTAAATCGTATTCATAATGCGAAAATATTTTCTAAATTTGATTTAAAATCAGGATATTAGCAGATTCAGATAGAAGAAAAAGACAAATATAAAACTATCTTTCTTGTACCATTTGAGCATTATGAATGGAATGTAATGCCATTTGGGCTTAAAAATACCCCATCTGAATTTTAAAATATTATGAATGATATATGTATTCCTTCTACTGATTTTATATTATCATATATAGATGACATTTTAATCTTTTCACAAACATTTAATCAACATGTGAAACATTTAGAAGTATTCCGTAATCTAGCAGTACGAAATGAGTTAGCAATATCTGCCCTAAAGATGAAAATATTCCAAACCCAAATCAGATTTTTGGGTCATAATATAAAAAAATGAACAATAATTCCTATTAATAGAAGTATTGAATTTGCTTCAAAATTTCCTGATGAAATAACTGATAATAAACAGTTAAAAAGATTTTTAGGTGTTTTAAATTATGTTGCGGATTATTTTAAGAATCTTGCACAAGATACGACTATACTATATAGCAGACTAAAGAAAAATGCTAAACCATGGATTGAGCAACATACTGCTGCAGTAAGAAAAATTAAAGCTAATGTTTACCATGTATACATATAGCTAATGTGCATTGGTTTAAAATTGTAAAAACAGATGCATCCAATATTGGATATGGAGGTATTCTCAAACAAATAGAACCTCAAAATAATAAAGAACAGTTAATCAGATTTACATCTGGCAAATGGGATAAAGCCCAATATAACTATTCCACAATTAAGAAAGAAATGCTTTCTATTATCAAATGTTTATCTAAATTCCGAGATGATATTCTAAATCAAGAACTCTTATTACGTGTTGATTGTAGTTCGGCTAAATGTATCATTGAAAAAGATGTTAAAAATCTTATTTCTAAACAAATATTCGCTAGATATCAAACTGAATTAGCTTTGTATCAATTTAAAAGTGAATACATTAAAGGCAAAAATAATCATCTTCCTGACTTTTTAACTCGTGAATTTTTATAGGGTTCCCATGAGACGGAGTAGTCTTTCCTTTTCAGGGAGGGGGAGAGGCAACCACACATCAGAAAGGAGTCATATTCCTATGCAATCAAATTCATGGCGCACAATTGCCAAAAAGAATAATGCAAGTAGTCCCTCTCAAGCCTTTTATAAAGACATTAATGATATAATAAACAAGGAAGATAATCCTGAACCCTTTACTTCTATAGTCAAAAAAGAAATAGAATGGACTACTAAAAAGGTTTCTGATACAATTCTATATTTAGAACAAGAAGATATTCCCCTAATGAATGATCCTAAAAAAATTAGACAGAAATACTTAAAATGAGAGTTATTATCCAACTCTGTCATTAAAATCAAGAGCTTGGATGAAGACATTAATAATGCAGAAAGGCATTGAAATAACTCACTTCTGGAGCAATGAGAATCATAGTGTTCCACCCAGTTTTAGTAAATGCATCATTCAAGAAGTCATAAGACCAAGGGATTGGGTAATAAATCCCAATCTTAAACTACCATTGGTAAAATCCCAAAATACTAAAGAATTATACTATTTCAATTATTGGGATTATAAACAAGAAACTACCATTGGTAAAATCCCAAAATACTAAAGAATTATACTATTTCAATTATTGGGATTATAAACAAGCATTTTATAATATATTTTTATATCAAAATTATAAAAATAAGCACACATGGCTAATAAAGCTCTGTCCTGAAGCAATTTATAAAGGGTTTCCTTCATGGTTTTTCCAATGGTGGAAATCATATGTTGCTGAAATGAGCATACTTCCAGAACCTATTATGAAGTTATATTCTTCATGGATCGAATCCCATCCAATAGTATCAGAAATGGATGACAATCAAATTATAGATGGTTTATGTACTATCTACTTCTTTGCAGAATCTGAAATACCATGGATATGGACATGGTCATTTGAAACAGATTGGACAATATATCATCTGCCTATGTTAAAAAGAAATTTTTATTGTAGATGGTGGTCTGAAATTGTTATTGAAGAAAAAATTAAACAGATTGAATAAATAATCCACAGAAATAATATTGTTCTTGAAACCACCATAACTCAAGAAATTTAAAAAGAAAATCCTATGCTTAAATAGCAAAAATAGTAAGAAGGAAATATCCACAAGCTTCAGATTCAGAAATACAGCAAAAATGTTTGGAACATCTGAAAAAATAGTTCTTTGAAGCCTTCGACAAAATTAAAACTAAATCTAATAAGAGCATTGAATCTTCTAGAGAAGACACAGATATTCCAAATGCTCAGAACCTAGATGATGACATTGATACTATGTGAGAGGCTGCTATGGGAATATTGGATAATATTCCACCTATGGATATAAAAGGCAAAAGCAAGGCTTGAGAGTTATAGTCAAAATATCTAAAATCAGGAGTCATACTCTTTAAAGCAAAGTGCAATATACTAGAAGTTTATCAGAAATGAGTTGAGCCTCGGGGAGCCGCTCATTTTATTGATAATGGTAGACATTATCATGAAGAACACTTTACTTTTTAAAAGGAGATTCCTTACGTCTTTATTCCTTTCCACAACCGTAGTGCTGTCACTTTGTATAATTACAATAAAGTAACTTTGTACTGTACTTGAGAGTGATGTTTGTAAACTTATATAAGAAGATAGAGAGGTCAAAAAACATCAGAGTTCTTTGGCAGAAGAAATCAAAGCGACCTCAGAGAGAGTTTGTAAAATAAGTTTGAGTCTACTTTGTAAAATATTGTGGAGATCAATAAAGAAGAAGAAGTTATTTTAAAGGGCTTTTTGTTTTTAGGTCCATTTGTTTACCTAGCTTTATCTTTAAACCCAACTTTTTTTTTGTATTTATCTTTAAACCCAATTCTAAAATATAATACTCTCATATGTGGGTCCCCCTATATAAGAAAATTGGGTTTAAAGATAAATACAAAAAGAAAATTGGGTTTAAAGATACAACTTATAATACTTGGGTTTAAAGATAAAGCTAGATAAACAAATGGACCTAAAAACAAAAAACCCTATTTTAAAAGTTGGAAGCTTAAATTGTAAGTATTTATATTTTGAATCCTGCTTTGAGTTTTGGTATCAGAGCCATGTTTGGCTCAAAATTATCTGGTTAAATTGAGATCTTACAGTTTATTTATTTGAAAATTTGTAAATAATTTTTTTTTACAGTTACATATGT